GTTCTATTAGCACTATCGCGTCTATCAGCACATCCTAAGTGCTAATGTTTTAAACTTTTGACTTACGACTTTACTGAACTTCCGAACTCTGATTTTAGATATCTTGAGAGCAGGCAGCCTGAAATGGCAGAATATGAGCTGATTAAAAAATCTGCTTGCTATATTGCGAAGTCGTTAATGATAAACATTCACAGTCATTTTCACATCATTAAAGAAGTTTTACACAGCTAAGTAGTAGAGATGCACCGATTGCAATTTTCTTGGCCGATTCCGATTTCTTTGTTAGTGTGATCTGCCGATACCGATTTTTGCCGATTACAATTTTCTTTCTAAGAACTATAATTGACAGCATATACAAACAAAACTCTACTTTTCTTCAATGCAAAGTCATAAAAAATTTTCATAAAAATTTTCATAAAAAAACAAGTAAAAATCTGTAATAAAATAAGAACAAATAACAAAAATTGCAAACAACAGCACAAATAAATGCAATAGAATAAAGAGAGCTATGAAAGTTTTTCAGGTTAAGTAAGTTTTTATTCAGTTAAGAAATACTACAGAAATCACAAAGTAATCAAATGTAAAATAACACATCATGTAAAATAACGATCATGAGGAAAATCGGCCGATTCCAATCCCTGGCCGATCAATCGGTGCATCTCTACTAAGTAGTATGTTGGGGGGAACAAATTCAAAATGATGTACACCACGAAATGAAGACAGCAGTTATATCAGCAAGCCAAAAAAGAAAATCTGTTTTGTTTAACAAGGAGCAGGTCACCTCATGGAGGCAGCCATTTTGAAATCACATGACCAGCTGAACTTTTGCATCTTGGTAAACGCATAAAATTGGTCGCTTCTGCTCACAGAATAAATTATTTATGTCTCATTGCAGATGGCACATTTATGCAATGGCATCAGTAACTGAAAACTTTAGATGCTACATCCACACCACTAGGTGTAAGTAGGAGTTCAAGACGACAACCAGAATGGTCAGCACAGCGTAAATGAAAAATGACTTAGTGTACCTTAAAGCGAATAAAAAGTTCAAGTTCAGCTTCACATGATGAAACCTGTTTAGCATACACTCAAAAAATGTTTAACCAATATAAAACACTTTAAATTAGTTTCTTTGTTGATATTTGTTCTAAAAAAATTTTAGCATTTAGTTTTTTTACACATTAGTTTTTGTCCAAACATCAAACAACAAAGCGCTATATGTTTGAAATTCAGATACACCAACATAGAAACATCCCACATTCAATGCAGCATGAGTGCTGCCATTCGCAAATGCCCCAAGAATACAACAGTATGCAACGCCAGATCAAAATGGGATGTAATTGCGCACATTAGTAAATTATACATCACCTCTAGGCATTATGAGGAAATTTGGCTCTTTAACCATACAATTGAGCAGTCTGGCCCTCTTACAGTAGATTTCCATCTTATTATCTCCATTATATCAACAATGTCACGTATGACTTATGTAAAAGAAACAGTGCTGGATAGTGTAGTAAAATGAAGCCATATTTTGGTAGCCTTGTCCTCATAATCAGAGGTGGAATTTGTTATATGTGGTGGCAATCACCATCTCAAATATGACAATTTCCTTTACAACCTCAAAATGTTCTGTTTCTATACTGATAAAACCTGTTCTTGTCCCAAAAAAGCCAAATTCGCCATCAAATATCTGTAGCAGCTCACCAATGGATCCAGTGAATGGGTGCCGTCAGATTGAGAGTCCAAACAGCTGATAAAAACACCACAATAATCCAAAAGTAATCCACACCACTCCAGTCCAACAATTAACATCTTAAGAAATGAAAAGCTGCATGTTTGTAAGAAACAAAGCCATCATTAAGGCATTTTAAATGTATTAAACCATCGCTTCTGGCCAAAATACATCCATAATCCATAATAACACTTTCTCCAGTGAAAAGGTCCATCTCCTGTTGTATCTCACATCAAAATCCACCCACATATTTGTTAAGAACAATTTTCGCTTGTAAACGGTGCTTGATCTGTGCGTATTTCTCTCCTGATTCAGACAAGACTTTTTCGCTGGAGACCATCTCAAATATGACAATTTCCTTTACAACCTCAAAATGTTCTGTTTCTATACTGATAAAACCTGTTCTTGTCCCAAAAAAGCCAAATTCGCCATCAAATATCTGTAGCAGCTCACCAATGGATCCAGTGAATGGGTGCCGTCAGATTGAGAGTCCAAACAGCTGATAAAAACACCACAATAATCCAAAAGTAATCCACACCACTCCAGTCCAACAATTAACATCTTAAGAAATGAAAAGCTGCATGTTTGTAAGAAACAAAGCCATCATTAAGGCATTTTAAATGTATTAAACCATCGCTTCTGGCCAAAATACATCCATAATCCATAATAACACTTTCTCCAGTGAAAAGGTCCATCTCCTGTTGTATCTCACATCAAAATCCACCCACATATTTGTTAAGAACTATTTTCGCTTGTAAACGGTGCCTGATCTGTGCGTATTTCTCTCCTGATTCAGACAAGACTTTTTCGCTGGAGAAAGCAATATTATGGACTTGTACTTTAGCCAGAAGCAATGATTTGATGTTAAAAACGTCTTAATGATGGCTTTGTTTCTTATAAACACACAGCTTTTCACTTCACAAGACATTAACTGATGGAGTGTAGTGGTGTGGATTACTTGTGGATTATTGTGATGTTTTTATCAGCTGTTTGGACTCTCATTCCCATTCACTGTAGAGATGTAATGCTAAATTTCTCCAAATCTGATGAAGCAACAAACTCATCTTTATCTTGGATGGCCTGATGGTGAGTACATTTTGCAAATTTTCATTTTTGACTGAATTATTCCTTTAATATAAAAGCAGAATTAATATCAAACCACTATTGATTCAACATGTTTTCTACAGTAAATTAGAGACGAGGAGGAAAAATGGCCTCCATTGATGTGATCTGTGCGGTGCATTAGCAGGCTGTGGGGTTAGCATCACATTCAACATGCCCATTGCATCACAAAGACCCATTCACACAGAGCCAGCGTGAATAGCCGGTTTTCAATGGCGTGCCAGAATCTCAGGGGGTCGGCCTTTTGGAGAACATCCATGAGTTACCACCTTCTGCTGGGTCGGAATGTAAAACTCCCATCCTTTTGACAGATCTGCTTTCCTAGATGACAAATAGTTGGTCTGTTCCTATCAGTTTATAATTCTGTAGCTCATAAAATATAATCGTTAAAACTAAAGCAGATGTTGGATGACAGTTCTGACAAATGGGCCGTATCTAAGGTTATATGACTCCCTGGGGAGAAACGTTAAGTTTGACTTTGCTTTTCTGTTACTTGCAAATAAGATGCAATGGCACTGCATTTTCATTTTCACCTCTTCATCTTTCATATGTGTGATTTTTCAGTTAGGGACACTTTTGACAACTAAAAACCTTGAAAAGTAAAACTTTAAACCAGATACATTGTAAGCGTATTTTTGGTATATTTTGTGGTCGTAACAATGTTATTTCAGCATTATTTATATTTTCAGTTTGATTTTAATGTTGGATAAAAGATTTGTTCAATCCCCTTTGAATTCAAAATGTATAAATGTATGTACGTATTTATTTTCAGACATTAAAATCATGAAATATTTAACCAACAACTGTTAACACTGACTGGTTTGTTAATGACATATATTTTTAATAAATGTAAAACTCAAAAAAATGTCATGCAGATTAATGTCCTCTTATACATTACATTTGAAATATCATGTTTTAAAATTGCATTTTCAAAATGCCTAAACATAAGAAAAATGCAATTGTTCTCTGAAATGCTTTTTTAATTGTTATACAAATTGTAAAACTGTATTTTAGCCAATTTAGTGTTTGCACACTCCTAAAACTTAAGAGAAAACTCATTAAAGACAGTCAATTAAAAACTTTATTGACACTATTTTTCCTCAAATAGAATCGTTCTTTAAAACCATTCTTAAGAGACAGAAAAGTTGCACTAATTAAAGAATCTCCCATATACGAGTAATTAAAGTTTGAGGCAACTAAAAAGGCTTCAAATCACTAACGCCACAACAAAAAAGCCAGCAAATAGCATCTTCCAAAAATGTACTAGTGAAGGTTGCCATTTTGCATCGTGACTCACGCGAGCACAGAAAGTGAACCACCAGGACTGAGTCTAGTTACACAACAATGCATCTTATTAATCTGCATTTATCTGACCGATGTGACAGCTAGATTGTACATGACCAATCACACACCCGCATAAATGCTGCTCTCTCTGAAAATGGTGACTCATAAGGGCCTTATGAGACCAATAATTCAAATTCCCAAGTTACTGCAGCAATGTTTCCTTCTTTTATAATCCACACAAGCCATTTTCCTTCTGTTGAAGGTATATCAATAACCTCTGTGTTTGAATTTGCTTCTGTGTGTACATGAAGCTTGTCTGGATCTGTCAGGCTCAGTAGGGGAGCTGTGAAATGCACTGGCATTTCACGCACTGCCGTGACGCTTTCCGGGGAAACGGTGACCAATGCAACATGCTGACTTGTTCATTTGTTGAATGAACACACTGTCCATTTGTTCCAGAAGCTTATGTTCTCTCAGAAGATGATTTTGGTGTGGATGAGGAGTGTTAGACCTCAATATTAGATGGTTTCCACCTGTTGGAAACGCACCGCTCGTATCGCCCCCTGTCAGTCGAGTTTATAGCGTCAACAGCAGCAGTGTGTGCCACTGTAGCATCACGTTAGTATTCAACAGTCGTGCAGAACGATTTACAAGCTGAATTCAACACATTCTAGCTTGGTAAAAGTGTTAAATTCATAAAACAGGTCACGCATTTCTCCTCAGCATTAACATTGCGTGGTAACGGCATCTAGTTTGATATATCCTCATTGCTTAAAATGATTCATAAGCCACATAAAACACCTGAAATTAGTTTAGTTTAGCTTAATTTGTATATTTATATCAATAAACATTTTCAACTCAC